CAGACCCTCCGTTTCCTAAACTTTTTGCTCAAACTTTTTTGAGATTTCCCATTTCAAAATGAAGCAGCAAACAACCTACAGTATTTTCTTAGGAGGATGTTTACATGTCTTTAAGTTGCGACTTTCATGCCTATAATTGTTCTTGTAATCTTTACAGCAATACAGCCCTCTTCTTGCTGCCTTTACAACCCAAGGTCAGTCTGAACTGACTCTGTTGCTCAAGATTCAGGAGTACTGTTATGACAACATCCACTTCATGAAAGCCTTCCAGAAAATAGTGGTGCTCTTCTACAAAGGTAATTGAATAGGCAGGTGGGCTTAACTCAAGATTTTAGAGTTTGACTCAGGCCTGGAAATAGGTTGGCAACTAGATGGAAAAGAACCGACATACAAGTCACGTTGGTCAGTCCCTTGCTGCCTAACAATCCCTAAGAATCTTGCTGCCTTACTTTGGTCCAGCTGAAGTTTCCAGACCTTTTCCAAGGCAGTCCTATGTGCAAAGCATTGTACTAATACAGATTACCAAGAATGGAATAACCAAGAATGGATAATTGTAGCCAGGCTATCTCTATGCAGGTTAAGTCACAACATGACTAAGATTCCCCACTTGTGTTTATGACCTTTCTTGAACAAGTTCAGCACTTTCCCTCAGTTTGTTAACATATGAGGAATGTTCTCACTTTGGCATCTTCCTTGTGGAATGGGGAACAAGATGGTCCTGCTGGAGGTGCAGCTGTACAGATTCCCTCTGTACAGCTGAGTGGAGGGATTGGGAGGCTGTAGAAGAAAAACAAAAGCAGGGCAGTTGCCTGCCTGCCCTTGCTCCAGCTGGGGCCTTCAGAGCACCCCGACTTAGTTTTTTGATTCATACATTATAGGACAAAAGCCATGTTGCTCAGTGGCAACTAAAAGATTTTTCCTGAAAAGCCTTGCAAAACTAGATTTTCAAAAATTGCAGTTCTTTATGCAGTAACCAAGGACATGGTTGAGGAGCAAAGATGATGATGACCAGGGACAACTTCACTCTTACTGTTGCACCAGTTTGCTTGGTTATTTACTGGCAATTTTATATTCTATACTAAGTTATCCACTTGAAGACATTCTTGCTTTACAGTGAAATATTTAATTCCAGTGCAGTGGGGGAAAAAACACATAAATAGATGATAAAATCAGGACATAATGAAGCACTTTGAAATAGTGAAATGGTGTCACATGTTACCTAGTTGTAATTCCTCCAGCAGCCTTGTAAGAAAATCAGTATTACTGCCCCAGTACTGACAGTGGGCAGAGGAGCAGACAGAGTGGCTTGCTTAAGATGATGCAATAAAAGCGTGGCAGAAGCAGAATTTGAATGAAGCAATACATGATTGTAACTCAGTTGGTTAATTATATGTTGCCCTAGACAGTGAGGAAGCTTAAGCATTATGCTATAGTTTTTTAAAGGATTAGCCAATAGTTTTAAGATGTACCTCCCAATTTAGCTTTATTTGACATGTTAACATTCTTCTCCTGAAGACATGTATTGTCTTTATGGGAAACTATAGCGCTCATTCCAGAGTATTTGCATTCAAGCACTTCTATACTAGAAAAATGCACAAGGAAGTTTGCTGTTCATTTGCCAAGCTATACTGAATGAAATGCTAAATAGGCTTCATGCCCTTTGTGTTCAACAGCTGAGGTGCTAAGTGAAGAACCCATCCTGAAATGGTATAAAGATGCACACATTGCCAAAGGAAAGAGTGTCTTTCTGGAACAAATGAAAAAGTTTGTAGAGTGGCTCAAGAATGCTGAGGAAGGTAAGTAAACACCAAGTTATTTAACCATTGTTATTAGAAACTAGAATTTCACAAAGTATTGTCATAATGAAATACTTTTTTTGTTGCAGAGTCCGAATCTGAAACTGAAGAAGGTGACTAAGTTGTCAAGCTGTCAACAGTAAAGCAAACAGGAGCTGTAGATAAAACGTCATGTCTTGTGTCCTTCTGATTCTTACATCCTACCTCCCTGTATCAACCATGATATAAGGGCTCTCATGGCAAATTTATGTTTGTGTTTTCTACGGTCATTAGAGAACACTGGAATTAGGTTTTTAAAACCATGTGTTAGTAGCTTACAGGAGCGCTAGATTTGATTCTAACATTGCATTAGTCCTTTCAGTTACATTCTACCTCCTGTATTTTCTACTGTAACATAATTTAAGGCCTTCCACAACTTAAATTCATTTTACCCTGGGTTTTCTATAAAAGTTTACAAGTAGACATGATTTGGAAAATGACATTTGTTATAAAAATTCTGTTTGCAAATTAAACTGTACAAGTATCCAAAGTCAAGAGGCCATACTTGTGTGATTTTGTGTGAAAGATACCAGATGCAGGCAAGAGTCACAGATTGCTAAATCAACACATTATCAGCTTCCTGGTTCTGGTATTCTTGTACAGTCTTAGGCAGGACCTAAATCTGTATTGTCTTGCACAGAGTTAAGAGCTACTTTGCTTCCCCATTCCTCTTGGTGGAAATAGACTGAAGTAATTTAGATTCAGTGTCTGAATGATCAGATCCAACCGCCTTGTAGAGACTAGTTTTTACAGTAAACAATGGCTATAGTGGGCTAGAGTACATTTTCTGACAATTCTAGCTAAAATATGTAAAACTGTCAGAACTAACATTTGCATTTAGATGCACCCCGAGGTTTTATATTCCAAAACTGCTCTTATAAGTTCATACAGTTGTTTTCATGGTAATAGGCTATATGCTCTGGGATGTCAGGTTGATGAGATTATAATAGACCCTCTTAGTTGTGTGAAATGATATTCTTCTAGGATACTTCTCCCACTGAAGAGGGAGGGGAATAAACTGGGTACATAACACACATCCTGTATGCCTGCATATGGCTAAGGTTATTGTGTAGACGTGGCCTCTCAATCCCAAGGCTGCTCTGTACCCTGTGTATATGTGATAAAGAACGATCATCTAACAGATTGCAAACAGCGGATGTGAAAAAATAGGCTATCAGTTCTGTGTGTGTGCAAGCAAAGCAGCTGTGTGAATAATGCCTGGCTGTGTGGCAGATGCCCTCTCCTTTGGTTTTACCATTTCAAGATGGGGCTTTTGCCTCTAGCTTGGCATATCTGTTTGAGCTACTGTCAACCTGCACTGACTCCTTACAACATAAAAGTAATCCAGTGCAATACAAGCATGAGATGAAGGAATGGCCTCTTAATGTTCTAGAACATCCTTTCCCAACCAGTTGACTGTTTGGATCAACTCCCATCCTTCAACAGAGACAGCAGGAATGTTAAGCAGTGTGATACCTGCCTGCTCTTCTTAATCTTTCAAGATTGCCTCTGGGTCATCATAGGAGTATTCTAAGCTGCTGTGGCTCAAGGACTTTGCATTGCAGCTGCTTAATTTTTCTTCTTTTAAAGGATGCAGATGCCAGAGATGCTAAAGGGAACTGATTAAATCTATCATGGGATCCAGTAGGTGTTGGAGAGGCTTCCTCTTTTCATCAAGCTCACAGGCTATTGTAAATAGTCCGGGCTGCAATAGTGAACACTTGGTTCTTGGTGGTAGTTTGCCACCTTCTTAAGAGCTGTGTACCTCGGCTACATTTCTGCCCTGCAACTTTTAAAATAAATTCCAGGAGTTATTTTGAAAAAAAATCAGCAAGCCAAATGAATTTTCCAATTGCCAGGAGGGTATTAAGGATGTAAAAAGCCAGCCCTGTCTTCAAAGCTAATGGGTTACTTTGTCCAGACTGAGGGTCAAGAACTCTTACCATCTTATTTCAGTAAAGAGTAGTTTGCCTTTCCTGCTAGATAACTTAGGAGGATTGAGTAGTAATTTGACAGCCATTTTAAGGTTCCATTTTTCCAGGCTTTCCTCCAAAGATGAGGGTGTTTGAAGCTATCCACCCAGTTTCCAAAATGAGCTGCTCATTGCTATAGCCTCAACTATTGCCCAATTTTCCAGCTTTCCCAAACAGTATTGTTGCTCCTGAACATTGTGAGTCCATGCTAATTTCCAGCTTTCTATTGGTGTAGCAAGGATGGTAAAAAATAGGATGAAGCCGCTGCAGGGAATCTCCTCCTGAGAGTTTTATCAGCCTTTTCTAAGCACCAGCAGGAGGGTAGAATTTTGAGGGATTGTGGGAAGGATCCTGAAACTATTACAGGAAATATCTAAATGAACTAGGGAATAGTTTGGTTCTAGTAGGTGCTACAGAGGCCTGGGACCGAATTCCTCCCATATATTCCTTCTGATATAATTAGTATTAATCCTTTCCCGGCTAGATAAGCACGGAGCTATAGTTTAGTCTCGCTTTTTCTATATGATACTGCAAGCCCAGTGCTAATGAAGATAAATTTTTGACAACAGCAATGCTTGAGGAAGAGGAAACAGAAGTGTATAGTTTGAAGATTGACTTGGTTAAGGGTCAAATACCTGGTGGAAGGTCAAACCTGCACTATTACATGGGGTGGTTAGAGCATGGGTCCTCAAACTACCAGCCCGTGGAACGCATCTGGCCCGCCATAGTATTCCATCCAGCCCACACACACACACACACTTGCTGTGCAGGCAGGGAGGTGGTGCTTGCTTGCTTGCTTGCTCAGAGATGGTTTTGGACTAGCTGGGAGATCTCAGCTAGCTGGGAGCGAGCCACTGCCGCCTTGCACGCACACCAAACAGCACCTCCCCAGCCCTTGATTGTCAACCATGATCAACCGCAGCCTTTCAACTGGCCCCCTACTGAAAAAGTTTGAGGATCACTGGGTTAAAGGGTGGGACACTACTACAATGCCAGTAACAAGTGCAAACACAAACACTCTCCTGTCTTTGTCTCCAACTGCACTTAAAGCAGAATCGCCTGCCATCCCAAATTTTTGGCTGTGGGCAGGGTTGTTGTGGTTTTAAACCAGAAGAGGTAAGGCCTAGGACTGCCTTGTCATAGATAATATTGCATAAGAAAATACTGTCAAAATAAGGGTAAGTTATTAAAATAATATTGACAAAATTTTTATTGCAAAAGCTAGGTCAATGGATTGAACAAGACAATTGAAAGAAATTTACAAAGCTAATTTACAAAATAAATATTTAAAAAACTTATTTGCTTTTTTGACTGACACAGTCTTTAATCTTCTGCAGAACTGCAGTTATTTAATGCTTCCCCTTTAATGAGGAAAAGAAGGGATGTTTCAAGGCTTCTGCAAGTGTGATCCGTTTAGCAGGGTCATACTCCAACATTTTATGTATAAGATCGAAGAGCTGTTCATGATCAGCATCATGGCATTGCATGAATTCCTGGGGATGAAAGGAAGAAAACAGGTTAGCACTCTCATACTCTAAATAAAGAAGGGGAGTGGGAATTTTCTGTATGTACTTGGCAATCGATGACATCACTTACCTTCAGTGGCTTACATCGCCTTGAAACGTATCTGCCAGCAGAACTATGTTCATCCCAATCCAACTGGTCATGGCGGAAGTACTTCTGTTTTCTACACAAGTACAAAGTTAAATTTCGTCAGGGAAGCTTTCAAAGTGACAAATGCATTTATAAATCTAAGTATGACCAAATTGACATTTGAGTTCGATTTCCCACCAACAGGCAACAGACCGCTACATGAACACTGCATTTTCAGACTGCTCTATCTCAGCTGTCATATAGTTTGTATGTGACTTTGAAAATATAATGGAAAAACTATGGTGAAAAGCAGTATGTCTTTGTTTACATAATTGGGCAAAGTTAAATGTGTGTAAAAACACTAGACACTTGGTCTGATGCCAAAATCTCCAAACCCTGTAAAAAGATTTAAGTGATGTTTCCAAAAGTCACTGCCACTCTCCAACTTGCTCCAAAACACATGCTCATAAAGGTCTATTACCATGTGACTTGATCTGTATAAGCCCTGTTCTGCAAGTATCTGAACGTGCTATCTGTACATAATAGCATGATTGGTCATTGAAAGAAACCAGTTCCACCCAATAGTCCCCACAGAACCAGATGATGTGGCTAAGCATTTTAAGCCCAACAGCAACCAGAATCAGAAAAAAGAATCAGGCAAGCCTACTAGTATTACCTGATCCCTGGAAGATAATGATGGCATTATTCCTTTGGGAATGAAGGGAAGCTTTAGAACAACTGTTTACCTTGTTTTCTGGACCATATGGGCTGGCAGTGGCCCCAGTATCTTTTCCATCATTGCCAGATGCTCCTTACTATCGTGTGTCTAAAAAAGAAAAACAAAATCTTAAACGACCTTATCTGGATTTTTTCGAGTACAGTGGTATCTTGACTCACGAATGCCTCAGTTCATAAACCAGGTCGCGAACAGACATTCAGAAAAATCTTGCCTCAGTTCGCGAACTCCACATTTGGTGATGACCACAATGTGGCCGTGTTGCCGTACGAGCATGATCGCAGCCATCTCCACCCCCCGCCCCCAGCATGATCGTTACTGCACGATTGTGGTTTGGACTCCCTCCAAACAATAACCTCCCCCCCCACCTAGGTTAGTGTTCTCTACTGTATTTTGTTATTCTTTGTTACTTTGTTTAAATTTTGTGATAAAATATTTACAGTACAGATTAACATTTACATTGAATCTTATGGGGAAATGTGACTTGGCTCACAACCAATTCCAGTTGCAGCCAGAGTCGTGGAACAGATTAAGTTTGTGAGCTGAGGTACCACTGTATATGTTGTATTCTGGTTTCTTGGGCATCTGCAGCTTTGAGGAAAAAAATTTTTGGTAAGGAGAACTGAAGAGAACCTGTTTCTGGTCAACTAATACAATAGCTCACTCTTTACCCTAGTGAGGTTCTACTACCATTAGACAGACATACGCTGTGCACAACAACCAGGGCTCTGAAGATCCGCATGTGTGATGTACAGACACCATGCAGAATAATAAACTTATCAGTTTCCAAAGCAATGTTTGCTTGCCTTGAGGGTCCAACATCCTGCTGCAGATTTGAGAAGCTAAAATGCTTCACATAACAATCTGAAGTTAAAAGGTACATATTCTATTCTGGTTCATTCGATACCATCGATCATGGTATCCTTCTGGATAGACTTGCGGGATTGGGGGTTGGAGGCAC